TGGCATCAACCATCCATGCAGTCATTTTGACTTGCCACCTTCTCCTCATTGGCGTCGCCGCAAGTCTTCTTCATGCACTTCTTGCATTTTCTCTGGCAAAGGGAAAGTTGGGATTGCAATGCCACTTTCGAGGAGTGCCTACTGAAAGGCCAGCCGCACACGGACGTCCACGTCTCGATCGGGGTGTCCCAGCTTGCTCCTTCCACCTGATGCCACACTCTTTCTCTTGAGCTGTAGGCAGTGGATGCCACCCAGAGCTTCTTTGGTAGCTGGGTCACCACCAAATCCTTGCCAGCCATTTTGGGCACTTCCTTCGGCATGTCCTCGACCACCATTGCATCGCTCCGAACACTGGCCTTCTCTGTGGGTTTCTTGCCCTTTTGGTTTCTGTCCCCGCTGATGTTTCTATTGGCGGGCTCCGATTGCAAAGCGTCTTCGGCGTAGGCTAAGACCACAGAGGACTTCCATCTGCCCAAGAAGGCTAGCTCTTGTATTGGCATGCCGAGTCTCACGTAGTTCATGGCCCCTGACCTTCTGGCTGAATGCCCTTGTATGCCATCATTTGCAATGAGGGCCCATCCTTCCACCATCTTCGCTTTGGACAACTTTCGGCCCTCAGCATCTTGGAAGATGATTTCCTGGGGCTCGTGCTCGGCTCCTCTGTATGCTTTCCATATTTCGCCCCACACCCTCCAGCAACACCATCTCGGGCAGCTTTTGCACATGCAGCATTGCAGCGTGCGTCTCACTCCTAATCCCTGCTGGTCGCACTTGGAGAGGGGGATGAAAATGGTGACCCGCCTTGAAGTTTCGCAGAAAGTGACATCTTTCCATGGCGCTCACCTCGATCTCTCTCAGCATCCAGATGACCGCCCAAGCATAAGCCAAGGCTGGCCTCGCCGTTCTCCTGGGCCCCCCGCAGCAGAGCATCCATTTCAGCTGTTCGATCTCCTCCAGTCTGACTTCGGGTGCCCGTTTGATCTTGCAGTCAGCTAGCAACTTGTTCATCTGGAGGTTCACCTCGAAACCCAGCTCGATGTGCATCAACTTGAGCTCATTCAAGTATTGATCTCCCGAAGACCAGCCTCCAGCTTTGATGGCTGCTGCTACGTCCTCAACGGTGTTCAGCTGCACAGGGGAAAACCTGTCTTCCTTCGCCCAAACTGGCTCTGGCCATCATCATGACCTGTTCTCTCTTGGTCTTCTGAGCCGCTTTTGAGGACTTTGCCAAGAAGTCACCCCTGAGCTCCTCCTTGCCCTGTCGAAGTCTTTCCTTGCCCTGCAGGATGTCCATGACCGCTTCGAAGGACCCCCTTCTGGAGTCTTTCGTCAACACCAAACCATCTTCTGCAGGGTGTCCCTGGCCTTCAGTCATCACCATTCCTGCTTTCCCGATACCACTGTGGCCTCTGTCCACGCTCGCTTGCGTCTTAATTAGCCTCGTCATGCACTTCACGGCGTCCCCGACACCATGCACCAACAGACCCAACGTTCTCTTCGTCTTCACGAAAGCCGGGATCCACGTCGAAGCATTGGGCCCGGTCCCAAACCACCAAGGCGGCGCATATCTTGAAGATCTTGAACCACGGGTTGGGCTCTTTGCACCATGGCCTTGAGTATTTGGTCCTGCACCGCTCTGGCCTCCGGCGAACTGTTCATGGGTGTCCTTCTTGAGAGCTTTTCCGGAGTGAGACTGACTGGCCTTCTCGCTGAGCGCTCCCGTAGTGGCGACATTCCCCTGTGACTGGTGGGCGAGTCTCCCTGTGGCCAGCCCTCCTTTCTTTCCTCCGCCTTTGCCCATTTTGGTGATTTCCAGCTCGGCTCCCCCCCCTTTCTCCCTGCCTGGTTGCCGCGGAGACACTCTGAAGCCCTCACCGCACCACCTGCTAAGCGTCCACACCCAGCGCACGATGGAGCACCCAAAGAAGAACCAACCCGCTACCACTGCAAACTCCCCAAAGGACCACTCTTCTGGTACGTCCCCTCGGGGTGGGACTTGCTGCAGCGCCGTCTCCATCGAGCCAACATGAACTGCAGACGGTCCAATGTGTCCTGTCCCAGTTCGTCCAAGTCCTCCGTCCCACACCTCAGGAGAACGAGTGAAAACGAGCGAACGAAAACCTGCGGGGCCGACGATCGACCCTACACTGTGCTCTCGATTCCGTTCTGCTCCCCCTCAAGCCGAGAATGGTGCACTCACCTTTAGTCACCATCCTATCACAGCAGCTCGAAGGCTCCGGACACCTGCCCTGCAGACGTGCCCCACAATGCCGGCGCGACCCCTGGTGGGCTCAGGTAGGATCCATGGATCAGGTTCCTCGGGAAGGACTTCATGGGCACGTTCTTGCGGCGTTCCGGCTTAGCTTCACTGCGCTCGTGAGGCCTTTGCCCGGAATATGCTGTGTGATAATCCTCCGGGTGCCATGCTTCTCGCACCTGATCGCTAGCTCTGCTCCCAGCCAGTTGATCACCGGTGAAGGTGAAGCTAATCTCTTAGCCATCGCAAGTGCCACCACGCTGTCGCTCCTCAGGATCACATTCTTGCCCTCCAATCTGTTGGTCCATCGCCTGAATGCCAGCTTCACTGCCCAGGCCTCCAGTGGTCCCTGCGAAGCTGACTCCTTCCATGGCACGCCCAACCACTTCGCGTCCTCCTCGAGCACCGGTATCTCCAGCCCCTCCAAGATGGTGAAGGTCTGTCCCACATTGTGATCCACCGTTGCTAGCAGCGCTCCAATGCCCTGCGGAGAGGCATCTGTCACAATCGCGAAGTCCGGCAACTTCTCCTCCATAGGCTCTGTTCTCAGCGCCAGCTTGTCCGGGTCCTTGAAGAGGGCGACGCACCACCGCCTCGGGAGCTCCAGGCGTTTGACAGACACCAACCCCACCTTGGGTCTCTGGTCTGCACGCTTCGTCGCTCTTCTCCTTTCATCTTCTTCAGCCCTTTTGGTGTCAGCAACCACAGCATACATAATGCTGACTGCCCACCGGGTTCTCGGGAGGATGCCGGCTACCCATGATAGGCGTCCGGTCACTTGCTGCACCTCCCTTAGGCTCACCATGCCCTTCTGCTCCCAAGTCTCCAGCGTGGCCTTGATCTCATTCATCATCTTCCTGGGCACCGTCAGCTTGATCATGGCCTCAGCTTGGATCACCTCAAACATGACTCCTATCCAGGACAGCTGACTTCCCCGTGCTCCTTTATGCCATGCCAGCTTTATCCCCAATGCTCTGGCTGTGTAGAGCAGGAGGGCCAGGTTCCTGTTCCTTCTCGAGGAGGGTCCACGAAGAATCCAGATTGGATCATCCATGTACAGCTGACTTTGCATCTCTGATGGAGCTACCAGCGACTGCCATATCCGAGCCAAACAGGCCGCAAAGCGTCCCATCAAGAGAGGAGCACCTTTGAAGCCAAAGAGCATCGCTACCCACATGAGAGTTTCGGAAGGGTGCACTCCTGGGCTCAAGCAATTGGCGTGCTCCTCTGGGTGCACCGGTAAATGGCAGTAGGCATCGGTCAGGTCAGCCGTGATCATCTCGTAGTCGTAGATGCCTCCATTAGGACGTTCATCATCCAGCACCCACTCCTCATCTCGCGCCTTGATCGCCATTCGATCTTTTGTTCTCCACAGGAACCTGAAGCTGTCCACCACGTCCACCACCCTTGGCAAGACGATGCGCTCAGGCACTCGGCATCTGTGGCGTTGCCGCCCGATCGTAGGAGATCAATGATGATCCGCCTCTTCACGCTGCCATCGTCCTTCTCCTTCACCAAAAGTGCCAGCTTTGAGACCGTTCCATGTCTGTGCGCTTCACTGGCCTTGCCCGTCGGGAGGACCACCGCAAATCCTTCTTCCACAAGCCTGCCCAGCTCTGCGCGCGCGTGTTCAGGTTCATCTGTGAAGCTCTTGTAATTCTCCATCCCGAGCTGCTCCGCCAATTCGGGTGCTTCTTCCACCTCCTGCTCCGGGTCGTCAGCCTTCGGGAAGATTCCGCAGCACGGGATCTCCATGTTCATGCCCAGTGGGACTCCTCGCCTAATCCACTCCACCAGGTTCTTCTCGGGGTCCAGCGCTGCTCTCAACCAAGCTTCCCATAGCTCTGGGTCCAGAGGGGAGTCAAACTCATACTTGTCCTTCAACACCACGTCCTGGAAGGTTCGGGTTTGGAAGAACTGCTTGAGCGCCCCTTTCCATGCCATCTCAACCTCCATGTTCGGCCGATTCCCTGGCGTCCCATAGTTCTTGGCCAAGTCCAGCGCCTCCGGGTAGCCCATGACGAAGCGGTCCCAAATCCTTGAGACGTCCATGCCAACTTGCCTCATCTTCGACAGTCTCTCCACCGCTCTGCCAGGGTTCCTCATGCCTCCGATGTAGCGTTCATTCTCCTCTTCTCTTCTGGCCTTCTTGGACACGCTCATCACCGGCCGGATGTCCTGGGTCGCCTGCGTCTGCTCCCATACCCTCTTTGATGGATCCGCCGTAGGTCTTCCTTCCGGAGGTCCCTGGTAGATGCGTTCCTTGCTGGCAACCCATCTCTTCTTGAGGGTGGATACCT